AAAAATATCATTTCAATTGTCACCCCTTCTATTGTGACAAAATATTGTGATTTTTTTTTTCTTTTGATAAGATACAAAATATTGTGATTGGATCTTATCTGAAATGACAAAAATAATTATTAGGATTGATTGTGAAAGACATCTCATGTAAGTCGTGTTTATAAATTGTGAAAGACATCTTATGTAAATGTTGTAAATAGTTATTATTTGGCTTAATCCCATTTTACATCCTTGAAATGGAATATTTTGGCTCTAGCATCCTTGAAAAAGAAATTAATATCACTTTACACCCTTAAAACACAATAAATCATTATCAATACACTATGAATTGAATATTTAAAACTTAATGAAGTAATTTCAATTTTTAGAGATTTTGGTAGAAAATATAATTTTCAAATAATTTGATAACAAAATAGCTGAAGGATTTTTATTCTTTTTAATTTTTTGTATTTTTTTTTGTGAATTGTTTTTTTAATATATCGATGAGATTTTTTATTTTATTTTTGCATTTTGTAGTTTCAAAATGATTAATGAATATAAAAAAGATGATTTGACATTTGGCACCTAAAAAAATACTGCTAAAAAAATATTAAATTACCTTCATAAGCTTTAAAAATTCATTCGGGATGCATTATACATGATTTATTGTGTTTCGAGTGAGTTAAGTGCTGTTTTTTTTTCCAATGGTGCAAAATGCCCATAAACTATATTTCAAGGGTGCAAAGTGGAATCCAACCTTATTATTTTTATTATGAGTTTTTTTCATTTCTTTCACGACTATGTCACAAAATACAAAAATAAAAATCATAACTCCAACCATATTTTTGTAGTGAAAATGGGACAATATTTGTTAAATCAAAATCATAAGCACATGTTATTTTGTGGTATATGGCAAGTTGGACTCTAGTCAATGACAATATTTTCTTGTCTAATATTGAAGAAATTAAATCTGGCTAACATGTGCTTCATATTAGTTGTCACAAAACATGTCCCTTCATGCAATAGTAATCATTTATATTCTTTCATTTATATTTAATTTGAATTTTTATTATCAAATAAATATCTCTTTTATGATTCATTTATATTGAAGTATATGTAATTAAGAATTTTGAAAAGATAATAATTAATATATTTAGGGCTCGTTTGGTTGAGAAGATTAGTCATGATTAATTAAATAATTGGATTTTGTTCGATGTTTGGTATCCTCAATAACTTGTATGTCGGGTCGTCCTGCAAATATTATGTTATCATGGCATGTATTGTTTTATCTTGCCTTTCAAAAGTTTTTTTGTTAAGACGTCCCGTAATCCGATAAAATAATTTGATTTTTATGAGATTATTTTATTTTATCTTGACAAACAAACGAGTACTTAATTGAATGAATTCTTACAAATTGTTTAAATATTTAGAATTCATTTTGATATTTTACAAGTCATTATTGTGTTTAAAATTCATTTCATATAGTCATTTGTTGGGTTGATGAACATGCATTTGAAAAGGAAGAAAAATACATTTATTAGCCTTTTGCTTTTTACTATTTGACCTTTTGTTTTAATGCAGTTTAGATAAATTTTAGATCATACTATATATAAGATAAATCGTTTCTCTCCAACAGTTTATCTTTTTATTTTTTTAAGATTTGTTATTAGTTTTTTTACCAAACACATTAGAAGAGCTTTATAAAATCTTAAACATCTTATAAGCTCTTTTTAACAGCTTAAAATCTTAGTCAAACATCCTCTTAGTATTCGAATTTTGCGCTATAAAGTTCCGAGAATGAACCACTTTCTCATTATTCATTATCCATGTAAATTTTGAAATCATAGCAATCTTTTATCCTTTACATATTAATAAATCATACCTATTTTTTCCTTGATTAATAGTACTAGTGTTTACTAAAATATATATTAAAATTAAAACATAGATAATTATTTTGTTTTTCAATTTAACTCTAAAATAATCTACATAGCTAATGGTCCGATATGACAAGTTAACTTAGACATCACATGCCCTTTAGTTGGCCACATTTTTTAATATCTAAATTCGATTAATAGCTCGAATCTTATTTAATTAATTAATCATACTTTCTAAGTATCATAAATTGTAATTAAGGTGTTGTTGCTTGTACTTTGTCTAATTGCATCTTACGAGATTTGTCGTTTCTTTATTTATTTATTAATTTCTTCTGTTGAATTGCTCCACACATTTATATTTTTTTTAAATATAGCCTTTTCCTGTAATAAATAGGAGATTTTGTGAGGTCACAATTTTAAATTTAAGTGTTCATTCGGTACCGATATTTCAAGTAAGCCGACCGAAAATTCGGTACCCAAAAATTCGCGTATCATTTACCGAACCGAAATATACAGTTTGATTCGGTAATCACCAATTTTTTTTTAAAAATAGTTACGTAAATAATTTTAATTTGATTTTTGTATTTATTATTATAAAATAATATATAAATTAAAGTAATAAATAAATGGCAGTCGGTACATACCGAATTATTGAATTTTAATTCGAATTTTTTTAATGACATCTATTAATGCATGTGCATGTTCTAATTTTTTTTTTTTGTTTTTTTTTTTGGTATATTTTTTAACTTTGAATTCTTACACTTCTATGATTTTAATTTTTTTTCTTAGTCGACTCGTTCATTTTCACTTATTACACGTCTCTTTTTGGTCATCATCAATAAAGAACAAAGATGTATGAATGAATAGAAACTATAGTCTATATATATTCTTTCCTTTAATACAAATGCGTGTATATCTATTTCTTTAACTTTTCCTTGTCTTAATCCCTATACTAAATAGTATTCAATGTACATGAACCAAGCACTATTATTGGGTCGGAAATCCCGTAAGGAACGACCTAGCAGTTGTAATAAGTGAACTTGTATTAATTGACCCGAGTTCAAATCTCCTTGTCAACGGTCGCTAGATCGACCTTGTGACACTGGTTAGCCTAGTGTGGTTTACATCTCTAGTATGATATACAAGCTATTATACAAGAGTGTAAGTTTATCCAGTACATCTATATGGTTAATTGTGGGTTTATTTCATAAGTAGGAGGGTCTATTTGCAATTATGCATACTCAATTGATGGTGATAGGGTTTTAATCTCTAGTAAATTCATTGTTGAATTGCATAGTTTGAAAAACATATATATAAGGTTGAACATCGAACAGGTCAGAGAATAAATATACTTTTGGAGGAATATTTAAGATTTTTTAAGTGAAAGAAATAAAGCTACTTTAATATTTTCCATAAACCTACAAAAATGTTTGGGTTTATTTGCTTTTTAAATTCTAGTTTGATTTTGAAGAATTTTTCTTATACATATAATTAATAATTATTTATATATTTTCTTTTTTTCTTACATAAGTATATCGAAAATATACTTACGGGTAGTAAATAATATTAAAATGTTATAATTATATTCTAGAAAAAAATTGAATCTTTTTAGAACATTTTTCAAAATTAATATCGGACCTATATAATAAATCTTTTTGGTAATTACTTTATGTATATTTTCAATTCCGATCCAACAGATTTCAAAAAACTGAAACGTGGAATGAAATAAGTTGGTCCCAGTTCAAAAAAATTAAAATCAGAATTGATGGAATTATGAAATTGTTTTCCAACTTCGATCCCTACATACAAAAATCGTTATTAAAATAAATCATTTCTTATATATAAAAAGTAATGCGCGTTTGCCCTAGGGTAGGATTGATATTTAAAAATTGTTTTCATTTATTGCATATATAAATTTGCTTATGTTATATTGTTGATTGACCATCTCAACTAAAAGTTTAATCTATTAGAGAGAGGTGAATCATTGAATAATATTTGCATCTCTAACACGCCATCTAATGTGCAGACGCATAACATTTTGAAGCTTCGTATAATGTAATTTAGATAATTCGCCTCTGAATAATTAAATTATAAATTTTTCATAAATAAGTTATTTATTTATTAATAAAATTGAGATTTTTTTTTCTATCAATTGATTAATTACATCTCTAAAATAATATTTTATCTCATGCCAACAACATTCATTTATGTAATTGATGTTGTCACTTAAAAGAAAAAAAATTGTGAGATAAAAAAGAATCTAACCTTTTTTCTAAGAGCTTTACTAGCAAGAGCACATACAAAAAGCAAAGAAGAAAACCATGGGTATAATTAAAAAATGTTTCCCATTATTCCACATAAAAGAAAATGTCATTTTGCTTTCTCATTCTTTTACCAAATGTCAAATCAACACAAAAAAGATCTTATCTACAAGATGGCTTGTGTATCACTAAAGTTTAGTATAAAATTGTATTGAAGTCTATCACCTAATAAAATTGAGATCAATGCTGATCGAATTGGAATTAACACTTTCGAGCAAAAAAAAGATTTTTATTTGGAAAATAAAAAGCCAACCAATTACATTAAAGAAAGAATCAAATATTGATATTGTAGGAATTACATTAAAAAAAATTGTTCCTATATCAATTTTCTTGGATCAAAATAACAAAAGTTAATAAAATTCTATTTTGTATTCACCTATAATATAAAAATTACATAATAATATTGTTATTATAAATGTAAATTTTGCTAAATAAATTGGTATTTTTAAAATTATTTTCTAAAATTAAGATGAGATCGAAAATTGAAATCTCATATACAAACATATATTCCATCCGGTAAAAAAAAAACACCTAGAAATCAGAATTTCGGATAGAAAAATTCGAACCAAAATCAGAAACTTTTCAGATCAAAACACACGGAATTCAAAAATTCCGTTTCAATTTCCACCTCCAGACGAGTCACGTTGTAATATCATATTCTCTTACAAAAGAAAAAAAGAAAATAATGAATTGACTTGTGTGAAAAAAGAACAGGTTATGGGCGAATATATAATTATTCAAACAAATAGGACTTAATTTGAAATAACAAAACTTGTGGGCTGCCAAAAGACAATTTAAGCTAAAATAAGCTGGCACAATATAATAAGTCGCTTTATCGTTCGTTCTTTGGATTCATTTCGAAGAAACTGTGATTGATTGATTGTTCATGCGTGTGAGACATTATCAAGAGAGAGAAAGAAGAGAGAGAAAGTCAGACAAGGGTTCTTTGCAACTCTTTATAAAGAAAAAAAACATGGAATTCTTCGAAATATAGCCAAAAAATCCTCTCTCCCTTTGTGGGTTCTCATTTTTCCGTCTGTTTCTTTAATCCCAGATTTCATTTGCGGATTTTCCGGCGCTTTCGCCGTTCGATTTTACCGGAAAACCTTGTAAAGTTTCAGTCTTGAAGGCTGAATGATGAGATGGGGTGCAATTAAAATTAGGGTTTTCTTTGAAAATTTAAAAAAATAAATAGAAAATGATTTTTTTTATGTACAGTTTATTGAGATGATTACGTTGGTAAAACCCTGTTAGAAATTCTTTGATCTGCTTCAAATGTCTGTGCGAATAAGTATCTGGTAGAGAGTTGCTGTTGGGTTGTGTTTCTTTTTGATTGAATTTAATTCCGATATATTTATTTTTTCCCGAATTCATTCGATTTGTATCGATACATTATCTCTGACAGTTACCCCTGTGCTGTCTGGAAAAAAAAAAAAAAAAAAGAAGAGGCAAGAGAGAGAGAGAGAGAGAGAGAGAGAGAGAGAGAGAGAGAGAGATGGCTCTTTCTTTCACTAAATTCTCATGGTTGTGGTTGGGTGGGAAAGAGAAAGAGCCCGTTGTCTCGAATGGCGGTTTAGTAAATTCGATAAATTCGGTGGGGGATTGGGGGTTAGGGTTGAGAGGTGAATCCGAGAATCTGAAGTTTTATTCGGTGAAGGAGGTTGATTCGAGAATGCCGTCGAATAGAAAAGCGAAGAGGAAATGGAAAAGCAGGGAAGAGAGAGGCAAGAACAAGAACGTAGACAGGGAGTACGATGTTGTCTTGGTCCCATCGGACGGTGTGTGTTTATCGGGGTCGGAGTCGGACGATTCTGATTGGTCGATCGGGTGGATGGAGCCGCACGCCCCTGATTTCCAGAGCGATGACGTGGCGGACGATAGTTTCGCTGTGTTGGTCCCTTGCTATAGGCACGACACTCAAGAAGCGAACGCGAAGGAGGGAACTAGTGGCGTTCGATTCTTCAACGGTGTTGGGAATCTTCCGGTGGATTCTTTTGCTGTAAAATTTAATGATTTGCTCGTTTTGCCCATTTTTTCGATTT